ATCTTGATTCGTGCAAAAAATCCATCTAACACAGATAACATGCGCTACATTAGCTTCAACACAGAAGTACTTATTAACTATCAAATTTGTGCATAATATCTGCTGTGCCATCAAAGTGTTCATGGTAAGTTATCGTGATTTAACTTGAAGGAAACTTTGCAGATTGCGCTTCGTTAAAGGAGGACCGTATAAGGAAGGAAACTGGAGCGCAGTCAAATCATCGCAGAAAACTGTTCAAGAAGAACTCAATGACATACAGTTACGATGTTAAGCAATTAGCAGTCTTAAAGTCTAAAATAGGAGAAAATTAGATTTTAACGATCTAGAGGAATTAAATCAATACTTTCTTAGATTAGTGAATAGCAGAAATTTTTCCGATCATTTTGAGGATATAGCGTTCGTTTCTTTTCGTAATCACTGTCTCGAACACTCCTGCTTACGTGGATTAATACAGAATGTTTCTGCCGCTGACGACAAAACTCAAGGTGTGCTGCCAAAATATTGTGTCATTGGACTTGGGGAACCTCTATCCATTCTATTCAACAAATCCACCTTAAGCAATACCACGGCGCAAAGCAATACCTGTGCAGAAAGTTCAAATACATGATTCGAACATTACCAGCCCGGTAGCATTCTAACCTATTCCGTTGAAACTTGTGAAGCAGTTGTTGCTCAAATCGAAGAACGAAATTTTGACTAGGATAAATGGAAATCGGGTTGACTACAGATTCCACAGAAGCTACCCGATGCTCAGAGGTTCCGTGCGGACAATATAATACAGGCAGCATAGATGAAAGCAGATGCACAATGCGTACGCCATTTCTCGACTTGCCACTAGCACCTAGTACTATCCTTCAGCAGACGCTGCTGGAGACGCTACATTAATCCAATCAGGTATCAATAATTCGTAATAGTTCAAAGGAATCTTCTAGTGACTTTTACAGTAAGTCTCAATGGGAAACAGATCTTAGTTTTATTAGAGTAACAACCTTGAAATTATTCAAGAATCAGTCTTCACCATGTTCAATATGTACATTAAGCCGTATCGTACGGACTATGCGATTTCTGATTATCACTGTAAAGTACGCTAACCATCTAAGCACTATCGCGTCAATCAGAACGATACAGATTATGGAACTTTATGAAAACGTAAGCCATACCGTTGAGCTCCTCGTTTCATCTTTTCAGTCGAGCGGCGACCTCTGATGCAGAATACTCGAAGCATGACACAATACAAGAGCCTGTCATTGGTGAAAATCTCCTGAGGGTGAATGAAGTGAGATACCCGCGTCATGCATTCCTCAAACGTAAAATCGTCAACTCACATAATGACTGTTTTTAAGAAGATCATGAAGGCATCTTATGATGTGGGTTGCGTGGAAAATGCCGATACTCCAACAAAAGTAATGCAAAAATTTGTTGATTAATGCACCGTGCCGACGGTTAATTATGCAGGTACAGTTATTCTTCCAGGCACAAGTGAAGCTGACTTATGACGCATCAAGTGCTGCGTCTTTTAACGCGTCAGTGAGATACGTTCCGAAACTTCGACTAAACAGGTACTCGTTTGGTAATCAAATGCAAACTGCAAATCGCTGGAAAGATTCTAGACGATACCCATCATCTATTTTATGCCTCGTTATCAAGATGTCTTCCGTTACAAACTCGTAAAAAATCCAGATGCTGACGCACACCCCATTTTATTCTGTACAGAGAATCTGCTGTGCCATTCATGGTCCGCTGTTGAATTAACCATATTTCAAAAAATGACGAACCTATCACCAAATTATGCACATAGAAAGGCTTAGCCCTCCATAACTAACTTCTAAACCGTAAATTCAAATCAGATCAAAATTACATTTCGAACTTATACCGAAATTTCAGATGAAATAGCTTCAACTTCGAACTAGATTTTAGTGCATTGTTTTTTTCGGAAAAGAAACGAATAATTACCTCAAATTTTCCCCATTTTTCTTCACGTCTTAGGAGAATCTCAAGAAGAGGCAAAACAAACGCGAGTGTTTTGCCACTGCCAGTGGGTGCTTGCACGAACACGTCCTGACGAGATATAAACAGTGGAATAGTACGCTCCTGGAATGAAGGGTTATGTTTTATTACTGATTAGATGACAAAATCACACGCGTAGCAGAAACAACACAAATCGAAGCTCATGTGAACAATAAAACAAAGCTACAAACGAAATAATTTAAAAAGAGTAAAGTCAAGGATCGAAAGCAAATATTGTTATTCAAAACAGCAACTTCAAGAACTTATTTGATCAAAGCAAAAAATAATTCCTCGCTTCTATGTCTGCGTCATGTTATTTTTTCTGGGCGTTGAAAAAGGTGAACGTAAAAAACAAATATACTAATCCGCTGGTCTCAGCGTAATAAATCTGGACAAAATGAAAGCGACAAGCACACTGCTGACAACGACGAGAAACGCCGTGAAGTAGAACGTCTCTTCGTCAAAGATGTCGGTGAACTTCGGAATCGCGTCATTTACGCTGCGCAGCACTTCCAACTTCCAACTAGCTTTGCCGGACCGAGAGGTCCATTTGCCGTAGTGGTCATCACTCATCATTACTCAACAGCGATCGATTCCCCAACACTAGGCTTTCTAAACTAGGCTGCTAAGAAAAGAGAACACAAACGCTTTAGGCAGAGCCAGGCATGGCACCTTTACCTGAACGACGGTTGGCTGTTCGAACAGAAACTTGCTCTTCACCACGTCGATGATTTCCTTACGAACTTCGAAATCATCCCAAGTCATTTCTGAAGTGATAAACTTATGGCCAGCCGAAGCATAACAACCTAAATCAAAGGAACGATTAGTAAAACATCAAAATCAGAAAAACATAACGGAGGCGCAAAAAATAGTAAAAAACAAAACAGAAAACGCAATAAATCTGCTACAAATATTGTGCAAAATCTACAGTACAGAATGAAAGAATCTTCAGTTTTAAAGAGAAAGTGCAATGCAGTGCATAATCAAATACCAAAGCCATCCAACCACTGGGGGACGGTACGCATGCCACAGCTCCATGGTACTTTGGTACCTACAGCGCATAGATGCAGAATTGCATCTCTGTGCAGATCCGAACAAAATTAGTAAAAATTAAGAAATGGAGTAGGAGTGGTACTGAATGAAGCGACCAAAAACTGAGCATTCGAAGTCAACCATTAACGACAGAATCATCGGCGCTAAGCTACCTTTAGAAAGTGATATCTTAAATATAATAAGTGCCTACCCCCTCCCCCCAGACTGGTCAGAATAAAGCCGAAAAGTCCACATTCTGGGAGAACCTATTCACTGTACTGCAAAACATACCGCGAGATGAAAAAGTGAAAATCGGGGGGAGGGGTGACATTAACGGGCAAGTAGAGAAACATCAAAGGATTACGACAGGATTTATGGCGGACAGAGTATGTTAAAGGGACAGGGTATGTTGAAGGCGAAAACATCTTGCAGGTCGCAACTCCATACGATCTGGCTCTGATAAACGTTCTTTCAGAATAGAGAAAGCCACCTGCTAACCTACAAGAGCGCTCAAAAGAAAAAGCAGATCGACTACTTTCTACTCCGAAGGGATGAACTTAAGAAAGTCAGAGATTGCAAGGTTATCCCGGGAAAACTATCACAAGCCAGCACCGGCTAATGGTCCTAGACCTGTCTCTGAAATGGTTCATTCAGGCGGTGGGTACGACGACAGCCCCAAAGATACAATGGTGGAAGTTCGAAGGGAAGCTGAAAAGGGTTCAAAATGAAAGTTACAAAAAATATGAAGACTGTAACAGGAAAGTAAGGGAACTATGGGAGGGGATGACCAGCACGATCATAAGTAATGCCAGAGGCTTAGTCGGAAAAACAAAAGGCACAACAGAAGACATGTA